CAGAGGAAGCGCTGACTGGAAGGTTCACATATAGACCCCGATGAGTTTGTCTTTGATTCCTACTTCCTGTTTTAACTCAGCCGAGGGTGTGCGTGTGTGGAGAACAGCGTACAGATACAGACGTACATATATAGATCAGACGTGGTGTCCTGCCAAGTGACCACAGAACAACTGTGTGACCTCTGCCAGCAAGGAAAACTTACATACTGTAAAAATGTCTGCCCAGTGAGTAACAATAGCAGCCTCCGATTAGAGTTTATTTTGTTGGTGTTGTGCTGGAGTAAAGATCACAATATTTCAGGAAAGATATAAACCTTAATCTTCTTTGCTGTAGCACAACTCCTTCAGTCAGATACAGCCTGTGGGAATGTTGGTCGTGGCTCAAAGAAAATAAAGTATAAGAAGTACAGACTTGGGTCGAGACAGAGGATTTTGAAACAAACGCTGCTTTGTGAAAGTTTGTTTTCCGTCTTTCCTTACTTTGGATTCATTTACATTTGTCCACTGTTTTGAATATTCACCTGCTGAAACTGCACCGTCCTCACAGTCAGGAAGGTCCGAGCCTTTGAATGTATGTCTTCACTTACTGTGGTGAGTCCTTCCACTGTTTTTTTGGGGGGGATAAAGTATCATATTATTTCATGCTCATTTAAGGTTTTTTAGTTGAAGAAAACAGTTTTTTTAAAAATTGCTGGTGTGAACCTCAAATATTTAAAGAAATATATGAAAGCCCTTTAAGGTTCTAGAGGATTAGCTGGACATGGTTTGCTCTTAAGATGGTCTTAACATGTGACACGCTGGAAAAGTGCTGCTTAACTGAATCTGTTGTAACATACTTCAAATGTTGGTTACATAAATGTTAGATTGTAACACATTGTTACGCAAGAAACAACCCGGGAGGGTGTTGAGGATCGTTGAGGCATTGGATGTGAGTGAGACAGGCAGAGAAGGAGGTGGAAGATGTTTTAGGTTTCATTGGACAGGCTTTTATTTTTTTATATTCAGGAAGGAATCATGCGAGAAGTGTCCAAGCATCCAAAAATACTTCTCACCACATCTGTCTTGTTTCCTCCAGCTCCACTGAAGATGTCGGAGACGCTGTTTGAGAACTTTGAGAAGATGGGGAAGAAACAGAACAAGGAGCAGGTTCCACCGGCCACTGAGCCTCAAAGCAAGAAGCAGTCGTCGAATAAACAGTCCAAGAAATCGCAATCCAGCAATACATCCACACCTGCCACTCACAGAAACCTGGAGGAGGCCTTCAAGTCTGTGAGTAATCCCAGTTCAACTCCCTGTATTTTTCTCAGGTTTTATTTTAGTGTAATTTGTAGCTTTTTTTTTGATTTTAGTGTAATTTGTTGCTTTTTTTATTTTTTATTTTTTTTACTCCCCGTGGACAAACACAGTGCAGCATTGTGGCATCTTCAAACCTATCACATGCTGACGCCACTTTCTCCCTGACATAATGAAGGAGTTGTTTCTCTGAGCACACGGCCTCGTCTCTGTTATTCCCCTTTTTAGCTGGATATTGCCGACCTAAAGCAGCAGTTGGCCCGCAGTCAGACCCTGTTCCCAGAAAACCCATCAGTCTGGGTCAAAGATCTGGCAGGATACCTCAACCTCAAGCTGACTGCACCAGAGACGGAGATCACACTCAGCAGCTACACTCACGGTAAAACAACAACAAAAAAACATTAGACTGTGC